TTCGCCGCTGGGAGCGCGGAGGGGTCAGGCGGGGTGACGTTGAGCGAGGGGGGAAGGAAGCGAACGGGCGTGGCAGCGGGGGGCGGGAGTGGAACACCGAAAGGACGCAGCGAGGTGGGGCAGAATGACTAGAGCGTGGGAGCGAGGAGCGGGAGAGAAGAATGGAATGGACGACGTCATAACAGCAGAAGCCGGGCGGGGCGGATGGATTGGAGAGGGATGAGGCGAGTCGAGTCGGAGTAAAGTGGGGCGATCTGAAGTAAAATGAGAAGAGCCGGAGAAAAATGTGTACCTGGGCGGACGGCGTCGAGATGTAGGGGAAGGGGAAGGACGGGGTTGTGTGGAGCAGGGCGGAGTGAAGATGTGCTCAGGAACGTCTGAGGGACAGGGGACGTATTACAGTTGGCGAGTAGGTGAAGCAAGGAGGTCTGGTAGGCGGGACGAGCTGAACAAGGACAATTCGGTGGAGATGGACAAGAACAAGTTGCACGTGCTCGACGAGGACACTTTGAAGTAGCAGTACGAGGACAAGATGTACTACCACACTATAGACGAATTTGGACCAGTTAGACGAGCAGAATTAACTGCGAAGTTAGAGGAGCTGAATGAAGAAGTTGGAGGAGCTGGAAGAACTTGATACTTTTGACGAGCTGAAGGAACTGGAAAAGTTGGATTAGCTGAACGGTCTGAACAAGTTGGACGAGTTGGACGAACTGGAGAAGTTGGACAAGCGGAACGAGGCTGGGATGGGTGGAGCAGGGCGGGGCCTGACAAACCAGAGAAGAGAGAAGCAAAGCAATACAGAGCGGAGCGGTTGAGCCGGAGGGGGGGGTGCGAGAGTAGGGCGACAGAGGAGGGGGAGAAGCCGGGAAGGGCGGGGCAGAGGCTGCTTGTGGAAGGGAAAGAACGCGTCTGTCCTTTATGGAGGGCGCGACGCGCGCCGACCCGCCATTCGTATGTATGTTATTCATTGCTGAGTCGGGGGAGAAGACGGGTGCGGCGGTAATGGTCTAGAAGGTTTGGAGACGTAGGAAGTAAAGATAATGAAAAGTCACCGTGTAGAAGCAGTCACAAAAGTGACGAAGGACAATAGTAAAAGAGGGATAATAGTAAAAGCAATTGATAAACATAACAGATTAAGAAACTTTGATGATTCTTTTATGATTCTTTTAAGATATTTGGATACGAATGTTTCAAGTCGGAAGAGAGAAGCATAGAATATAAAATAAGAAAGCGTTTTGAGCAGGGTCCATGCTCTTCTGTACCACTTGACGTTAAACGTACGAATATAAAGGCGTATGAGCCTGCTGTTGGGAACTGGGAACAAAAACAGCACTGAGATTTGAAACGGAAATTGGCGTAAGAGCTATTTGTGTAAGACAGTGGGAACGGTATTCTAAGATTGAACGCCGATATAATCAAAATAAGTAGAAGAAGCAATAGAAGGTTGAAGAGCAGAGAAGATACGAATGTAGAATTTAAAGTGGAGGTGGAATTGAAATTGCAGCTTAAATTAGCAACGTAGGTGGATACAAAGGTAAAAGGTAAAAGTTAAATGTAAATTACATAAAAAGAGGAGGAATGTCAAGAAAGGAAATAATTGAGAGTCTACAAATATTAAGACAGCTGTGGAACATATGAGAGACCCTGAATGGAGTTGTGAGGAAAAGTAAAAACCTGAGATAGAGGAGAACTGCAAAAGATGTAGGTGTTGAAGATGCCGTGAAACTGTCGACAGAGTAAAAATTAAAGTGAAGAGGGAAAGTAAATGTCAGTCGTTGCAAGTGAAAATAAAGCCAAAGTCATCCAAAGTATCTCAAATCACCTGCTGGGGAAGATCAAGGTAATAAAAAGAGAAACACTGCGCGAAACCAAGACACAATGGCCACGCCAACAGGAGGAAGGGCTGAGGCGATACTTGAAAGGGTGGATGTACAGATCGATCTAAAGGAGAAAGTGATGGAGGAGGAGAAGGTGTAGGAGGTCCAGGGAGTGAAGTAAGAGACAGATTTGGTTGATGGGAAGGTGGCGGATGAGAAGGTGAAGGAGTAGGTGAAGGAGATGGAGGAGGGGGAGTAGGAAGAGGAAAGAGGAGGGGGAAGAAAAGTAGATGGAGAAGCATTGATTGATTGATTGATTGATTGATTGATTGGTAGTGATTCCGGGCGCGTCAACTACTAAGGTCGTAAGCCCGTATGTGTAGTGCACGTTTTTGCTCAGTAGGTGGCGCTGGTCTACCTCCTCTGTATGACGAGATCCAACGCTGACCAACCTTCGATTAGCGAGATTTTCCCTTACCAGGTATATCCCACTAGCGAGACACCGCCCCAGTCGGGACAAGCTTTAAGCTCCCAAACAGTCTCCCGGAATGTGTGGTAGTATGTGGTATGTTAGAGTAAGCGTGTGTAAGGGGTGAGGATACGACAAAGAAGAGTTAGGAAAGATCGCCTGCGGTCCGTTACCCGTGTGTTAGGTACTTCTCCAGCATTCACCTGGCGTTGATCGGAAAACCACGGAAAACTACCGATCAGAGCAGCCGGCCGCTAGAATTCTCCTAGCTGACAAGTCAGTGTCGAATAATCTGCCACCGTCGGGACTAGAACCTAGGATCTCTTGGTTAGAGAGATTGCAGTGACATCAGTTCTGAACCATATCTCCCGTTAGTGATGAAACAAGAGTAGGGGAAGGTAGAGGAGAAGGAGGAGGAGGAGGAGGAGGAGGAGGAGAAAGAGGTGGAGGAGCAAGAGAAGGCGAATGTGGAGGAAGCGGAGGAAAGGTTAGAAGAGGAGGTGAAGGAAGAGTCAGAATCGGCCGATGTAGAGGAGAAGATGAGGAGGATGTCGTGTTGGACGGAATGAGGGATG